CCCTCAGTCCTTTCTGAGAAATCCTGCAGAGCCAGCCATCCATATCCTCCCCATGAATCAGGAAAATCCACAGGCTCTTACCTGGTGGGCCAGGTGGTCCTACAACAGAAAAAAAAAATTAATGGTAAACCACAGATGGAAGAAAATGAAGCCAGCATCACAATCCCCAAAACAAAGAGCACCTTCCCATCTTAAAATGTGCTAATCATCCACGGGCCCTATGGAACCGCCCTGTGCCTTTTATTTAGAACTCAGTATATTTGTCCAAAGATCCTTAAAAACAATTCAGCAAAGACCTATTTGCCAATCAAAACCACTTTTGCTTAAGTTCCAATGGACCAAGAATAATTTCTAAATGGCTTCAGTATAGATTCACAAATCAGCCATCTTTCAAGCAATCAGCAGATTTAAATGAGGTTTGTGACGTTGCAGGCAGGCCCTAGTGCAGCTCTGGCACAGGTAAGTGGCAGCAGGTGGAAGTGCTGTCTGCAGGGCTGAGAGCTGGCTGTCCTGAGAGCAGTCCCAGGTGCTCTTATCCAGCCAGTTTGTCGTCTCGAGGCTGTCCAGGGGACATATAAGCAGAATCTGGTTCCCTGGATCTCTATTTTGTTGCATGAAATAGCCTGAGAAATTTGAGATCAGGTAACAGATACCTCTCTTAGTGTATAATTACCCAAGGATCTAAGGGGTTCAGATGAATCATTCACACATAAGCTAACAAAACAGTTTTACTTCTACAAATAGAGTCTTTGTGTCAATTATCCTATTTAAGCACTCAGACGAGTCAGTGAAGTTGTAACATGAGCCACTGGGGGTCTTTTGTTTCTCCAGACCACACGTAACGACCACCAACATTGGAGTGGGAAGGTCTTTCTAAAAATCCAAGCTTGTGACTTTTCAGAAAACCACCATTTACTGAGCACTTACTGTGTGCACCCAAATCTACCAACAAGTAGACATCTATGTCTTTGTGTTTGTTGTGTTTACAACCTATCTGGGGCAGACAGATACTTTGAACCACAATGAGATAAGGAGGGAGGAACTGAGAAGCAAAGCCCTGCAGGGATACCGGGGAAATCTGGGCCCACACAGTCTGTCTGTGGCTCTGAAGACACAACGGGCCTGAGACGGCTGAGAGGCAAGGCTGGGCATCTCACACAGATGTAGAAGTAAAACTGTTTTGTTAGCTTATGTGTGAATGATTCATCTGAACCCCTTAGATCCTTGGGTAATTATACACTAAGAGAGGTATCTGTTACCTGATCTCAAATTTCTCAGCTGGAGCAGAGGTACAGGGTGGGAGCCCGCATGATTCAGGGTGAAAGAAAGGAGGAGAAGGGCCAAGCTGGAGCGTGTAGAGATGAGGTGGAAGTACTTGGCAGAGGGTATGAGGCAGCAGCACTTGAAGGCCAAGTGGAGAGGTGTAGACAGTGTCTGCGAGGCAGGGGGGAGCGACAGTACAGAACGTTAAGCAGGAGGTTGACACTAAGTCAGTGTGATTTGAGATGATCTCTGTAGATGGAAACTGGAACTAGGTAATGAGATGGGAGGGAGACAGAGAGAAAGGGGTGCAGGGAGAAAATACCCAGAGGATCTCTTGTAGTTAAAGTTTGGGACAAGGTTGTGGATAAAAGTGGTTGGTGACAGTAGAGCTAGAAATTCAAGAGGTATTTCAGCAGAAGAATGGGCAGGACTCCATGACTGGATAGGAGGCAAAAGAGGAGTCCTCTCAAATGACTGGGAGCCTGGATACCGATAAAACTATTTGACAAATACGAAGCCTTTTGGAAGAATAAGTGTTGGAAAGTATGCTTTCAATACATACAGTCCTACCTTGGGCAAAAAGATTTGCTGAAAACGGCACACGTTTTCTAGGGTCAGTGTAGCCTGCAGTCAATGTGGTCAGTTTACCACCAGATGGCGCACGTATGCCTGGGTCCAATAACCATTTCCAGGCAGTGAGGTTATTGGAGAGAGGTCCTGGCTGGAGCTGTATGCTTAGGACACATTAGTCATGGCCAAGGTTGTCACTATGATGAAGTGTTTAGACTAGGGTTTCCTGACATTAACCTGAGGTCCACTGACACCCCATGGCTACAGTTCTTAGTTATTTGAATCCATAGAATCAACTAGAATTCTTGTGGAAATGCAGATGCCTGGGCCCCATCTGAAGATTGATTCAGTTTGGATTCAGAGTGAGGCCCAGCAACCTGCATTTTTACCAAGCACCACAGGTGACTGGGATGCAGATGGTCCCAGGTACCCCCCAACTCAAATGGAAAATTTTCGGGGAAAAGAATCACTCAGCATCAGTAAGCAGGTCCTGTAAGGGGTTTCTGACCCTAGAAAGCTTGGGAGCTACTAGCCTTGAGGTAAGAGTGAAATGTCTGAGCCAAATTTAGGGATGCAGAGAGGAGGACACACCCCAGCTGGAGGGAGGCAGGTGACAGAAGAAGCACCAGGAAAGAAAGAGTGATCAGAAGGCAGAGGAGGGAATTCAGCAGGTCCCATACCCTGAAGCTCACTGTGAAGAGAATTTCAGAAGAGAAAGAATGGCAGTTCCAACGAGCTCATGAGCAGGGTGCTACTGTGATGGGGGACCTCTGTCCCAGTGTGCCCGGGATACCAGTGGCGCTGCCCAAGGTCTTTACACCCGGAAGAAGCCCCCAATATGCATCATTATCATGAAGTCAAATGTCAAATAATGTGCGCCAACTGGCCATTTAGAAAACTGTCTTTCAGGACGTTTTTTTCCGCTCCTGAGCCTTCTCCCCTTCCGGAATCACAGACCCTCTGGGAACACACGCAGGCAGCCGCGTTCACGTTAACACTGCGCAGGGCTGTTTCCTGTGCCTGCTACCAGTGCACTTCTACACGGCCCACGCTAGAAGGGGCTCCTGCTTGGGTGCAAATGCTCTGTGGTGGTCGTCTGGAAGTTCTTGGCCGTTTTACCTTTGAATTCGTGTTTTGTAAGTAGAATAAAATGGGACAGTGGGGCATGCCCCAGAGGCTCTGAGTCCTGGTTCATACGTGGTCCCGCCTCCTACCGCGCCCCCGCCTCCCCAGGAGGGCTTTCCCCCTGCCTGCCCCTGTGATCCCTTCCACGCTGGCAGGGCCCAGGCACAAGTGCAGAGAAGGCTAGGGCTGCGTGTGTGCGCTGCATTCCTGAGTCACAGGGTGGCTGAGACCCCCCAGCCTGTGAGGGGCAAGACAGGAAGTACAAGCATCATAGTTACGGGGAATGATAAAAAGTGTAAATCTCTTTTCCTGACTTCAAGGGCAGACACTGGCCAGTGGCTAACGCTACAGGCCTCTAGAAAACCTGACCCTGGCCTCCTCCTGCCACAGCCATTCCAAATCACAGGAGAAGATGCATTATCTCTAATCTCCTTTTAGTAGCCCCTCTCTCACCCTGGGATGGTGTCAGAACTGGTGTTGCCTGACCCAAGTTACCTGCTTAGCCCAATAATGACCACAGGGGAAATAGCTACACATTTCCTAAGTTTTTGCTGGAAGAGGAAAAAAAAAAAAAAAAAAAGAAGCCAAAAAATCCAGTCTGGTTCTGCTACCATAGAAAGAGCTAGTAAAAGATGAAACTTCATAAACCTGATACCGCCAGGCCTGGAGCACCTCTGAGGTCTGTAGTCCTGATTTCCTTCTGCGCCTACTCTCAGCAAGGACTCCCCGGGGCTTGGATTCATGCCAGCCACAGCTTCAGGGCTAGACAGGAGCTCTGGTCAAAGTGGGTGTGGAACTCCCTTTCCCTTGGGAGGCAGACATGCCTGGCGCTCCTTAAGGGGCCACCTGGGAGGATCCGCGCTCTCACACCCACAGCCTGGATCCACCAACCCTAAACAACCAGCTAGTCTGCTCAGTGAGGCCAGTCGAGTGAAAACATCATCAGCTGCACGAGCTGCTCCTGAGAATGGCCTGTCCATCTGTTTACCAAGGGTGGCACGGGCTGTACCTTTGGGGTCTCCGTTCCCACCCTTTGTATGCTGGTACACCCTCTGCAACCACCCCTGCTGCCAGCTATTCTGTCAGTCCTAGGGCACCTGACGTGGAAAGGTACCTGTCTTTCCTTACATGACCCCATTTAGCTGCAGCTTTGGTCCAATCTCATTTATTTGGTGCACGTCAATTTTGGATTATGGTCACGCAACCTTAAGAAAGAGTAGGGATGGCAAATAGGTTTTATTTCAAGTGCCAGTTCTAATCAATTAGTACAACTTCTTGCAACACTAGAAAAGAATGACCTGAGACCTGAGGCCATGCTCGGCAGTAACTGTGGTCCATTACTAATGCCTGCCTGGGTGTAGGATAAGCAGTACTATCAGGTGGCTGGAGTGACTTGGCTGCCAGGAGAATGGGCACTGTGGATTGGAAGCACCTCTGTCCCAACAAGCAGTTCAGCAATATGATGGTTTAGAGATTTTCCAACAAGCCTGTATGTGGAGGCCACTAGAAGTGAAGAATTACCAAAGAAGCTGCCTTCTTCAAGATACCTGCTCTTCCACAAGATGCCTCTGGGGTCCCAAGGCCATCTGGGCTCAGGGGTAAGACGCATCCAGGAAACCATGTTGTTTGACAAATTCTGCACTAGCAAAACCCCCTAACTCCTCTAGCAAGTGAACTGCCCCCACTATTCACCTGAGATGTCACAGGCTGCACAAAATGACACAGCATCTATCCTTGTCCCCATAACAACCACACCCGAGTCCTGGAAAAGGAACCAGAATGGGGTTTCATGGTCACATCTGGACTAGCCTCAAGTCACAAACACCTGCCTTTTCAAAGATGAATCCAGTGTAAAGCTAGATCTTGTTCTCAGACCTCAAGCCCAGGGTCTGCCCTGGAAACCCTTCCTGAGGGCATTTTCTGGGGGCTCTGGACCCAGGCTCTCTGCTCCTCCCACTAAAGTTGCCCAGTTCAGACCTGGGTCCTGTGCTCCCCGCCCCCAATCCCGGCAGCCTGGTCTATTTCAAGGCACCACCTTGCTTTGCAACTTGTACTTTCACATCTAAGTTTTAATTGAAGAGCTTTCTGTGTAAATGGAGGCCCAATTTCAAACTGGCATGAAAGAAGAAGGTGCTGGCTTT